GCCGCAGATATTCTCAGTTGAAATAATATTTATTTTGCATGTGTAGGAGCAGAGGTGCAGAAAACAAATGTCCAGAAGGCAAATTGAATGTTCTTTTGTCTTCTGCAGAAAATGAAAGCTGGAAAACAGTCAAAGTCTGCTTTTCTTCACCCCCCTGACCACATCCGTTACATGTGCATAAGAAACTGTCTCTCTGTGGAGAGCAAAAAACAAGCAGTGCCAATGACATGCCAGCTCCCGTTAAGCTGAAATGTTCACACACAACCAGCGACAACGACAGAATGTCAAAACAATTGTTGATCGGAAGCACAAGAAAATCTCTAAACTGAAGTACCATAAAGAGAAGATTTTTCTAAGCAGTGAAATCTTTAGTGATTGTTCACTATATGTTAAAGGCTTTATATGCGATTTTTTTGATCCAGCAGATGTCGCCCTTGAGCACCAGCATGAAACCAAAACAACTCGCGGTGCATTGTTGTGTTAACATGCTAATGTTAGCGATCTTTATTTTGCTGGTATCTTCACACTGCATGTAAATTTACCTGAAATGAGCATGATCTAGAAACACAGTTAAGCAGTGAGTACAGTATGTTATTCTTCTTTTCTCTAGTCGGCCTCAATGTAAACAACTCGAGAAGATAGGATCTGAAAACTGTAGACAGTCATGACTCACAGAGTTATATTCAGAGGATATACTTGATTTCTATTATATTTAAGTGTGAAAAATCGCATATAAAGCCTTTAATGATTTACTGTGTATCATCTAGTTTAATTCGGCCCACTCGGGGCACCAATCAAATTTATTAATAACAATTTGATTATTTATGGAATTCAGAATTCATAACATTACCTTGTTCCAACATAATATGTTGTGTAAAAAAGTTGTTTGCATATTGCATCATTAAGGGGCACCAACTCCTTTATGGTGGAAATTATACACCTCACCTCGCCTTCCCTGTGAGTCCTGTTCAGGGTGCAAAGCCGGCCGGTCTCAGCGCAGCCAGCTGATCCTGGTTGTAAACATTACGGGGTTGCTGCGCAACGTTGCTGTGGATACATCAAAGTAATTCCATTACAAACATTTACCCAAACTCTCTCCAATTGCACGTATAGAGAGGGAACAGCTTAACCAAGAAAACAAACAAATAGAAAAATAATAAGACAGTTTACTACTTAAGAGATAAAACAAATGGGAGTAATTGTAAAAGGGTTCAAGGGTGGTTGCCGATGCGCAAAATGCTTGATCCAATCAAACGTGGAAAATAAAAGTACATCTTATATTATCTAATTTTACCTTATCTTATCCATACGGCTGCTGGGCAGACACTTTCATCACTTTTCTGCTCAAACATTGACGTGCAGTTTTTACTCACCAACATAGTTTTCACTATGAGAGTCAGTATCTGCTTGCTCTTATTAAGAACTCAAACACAGATAGTTTCAATAAATGTGATGAAAAATGAAGGGCAATCAGGCAGGCATATTACAAAAAAAGAAGTCAGTGCTGAAAACAGTGGAAACGAGTCTCCACAACTGTACCTAATACTTGAAACACTGAAAAGATGGCAGGACTTGTCTTGTTCTGTACTGATAAGAATGCAGATCTGTTGGGTAAGACCAGAGGAGGTGGATTGTGTACATACATCAACTGGTGTAAGGACTTTGTTCTTGTAACTAGCCACTGCTCAGCCATGGTAGAGTTTATGACTGTTAAATGCAGACCTTATCTTCTACAGCCGTAATTACCACCGTCCTTATAGTCCATTTTTAAATCCCCCCAAGGCTAATGCCAAGGAAAGTGCTTTGTGATCTGTTGTGGGCTATCAGTGAGCTTCAGAAGTCACACCCTGATGGACTTATAATCATTGCTGGAGATTTAAATCATGCAAATCTCGAGTCAGTGCTCCCAAAATTCCATCAGCATATGGACTACACGAGAGGGGCGAACACGCAGGATTTTGTTTACACAAACATATTCAGCATATACAGAGCAGAGCCCCGCCCCCCACCTAGGTCACTCGTCAGACGCTTCAGATCAGAGCAGAAGTAGGTCCAAATATGACCCGCAGGATCCATCTCTGCACTTCAGGATTGCTTTGAGCGCACTGACTGAGACATTATTCAGAAGGCTGCAACATACGGTGACTTCATCATCTTGGAGGAATACACTATCACAGTGAGCAGCCGGAAAAGCTGCAGGACCTGACAACATTCCTGTCAGTGTACTGAGGAGGATGTGCAGACCAACTGGTGAATTTTCACACCGACATCTACAACATATCTTTGAGCAGGGCAGTAGTTCCCACGTGCCTTAAGTCCACCACTATAGTTCCTGTGCCAAAGATAGATGGATATTGTAGCCAAAGAAAACTGTATGGGTGTGCGTGAAACACATTCTGACTTGTGACAAAAGTCAGGAGAGTTGACAACGAGCCCCCCTTGTTTGTTCATCATGGATAGACTACAGAATAAACACTTGGCCAAAAACCAGGACACCCTTATGGCTCTGTGTTTACATTAGACTGTGAATTACGAGTGAGTTCTCAGACATTTCGTCTCCGAATAAGCAACCAACACTTCCAAAGATACCTTGCATCCTGGGAGAGTCACATGCTTAGATCTGGGAGACATCAAGGAGTTCTAAAACTGGCAGAGACTTTTTGGGCTTCTCAAATTGAAAGATCTTCTTTTTTGTGTCAAGTAAATGTCCATTTAATTTCTGGTTTTCATATATATAGTTGTGAGGATGAAAGTGACTTTTCATATGTTTATGTCTATATGACCTAAATTACTAAAGTTAAAGAGCCCATATTCTGCCCTTTTTGGGGTTCGTATATTTAATCTATGTACCTACTTTTGTACGTTCACAATAGCTAAAGTCCGAAACAAGTGTCTGTTTTCATGTACTGCTCCTCCTTGCTCCATCTACGCTCTGAGTCCGTCAGCTACACTCTGTTGAGCCCACACTGTTAGACCCCACGTGGGCCAAGTCTGCTCTGATTGGTCTGCCGATCCGCTCTGTCGTTATTGGTCAGTTGCTCAGCACGCTACTCGGAAATTTCAACATGAGCTGCAGGGCTTGCCACAACGAGCCAATGGGCTTAGATCAGTGATCTCACTCTGACAATGACGTCACACTGACACATTTTTAACGAGGGGGGCTAGAACCGAGCGTTACATGCGGCTAATGCTACAGCTAACAGGAGGACGTAGGAGAAGCCGCGTTTCCTCATATAAAACCAGAAAAAGCATAATATGGGACCTTTAAGTCAGAATTGTTTAAAAGCTAGTTCATGGATTACCACTGAATACTTTGAAGCTGCCACATTGTGTTCAGTATCGTCTTAGACGCACAAGACTTTTAAACATATACCGTGTTTATAATCATATTGCATGTTATAAGGTATAGAATGTGTATAGTATATTATCTTTTTCTGTATTTTCATATTACATTGATCTATGTTGGTTATTATCTCTGATTCATTGATTAATGAATGTTTGCTCGAATTACAGATTGAAAGAGAAGATTTTCCTAAATGTTCAGAGATTACTCTTACTATGTTAAAACTCAGAATGCTCATATTGACGTCATAAAGTGTTTTTCCGCGTATTTTCAGTTGTTATTAAGTAAAATCAAGTAATTGAAAACGTACATGAAGTTGTTGGAGCTCATCTCCCCCCCCCTTGGAGTGGGATGAGCCCGCCCCTCTCTATGCCATATAGAGATGCAGAATGAACTTTAATTTTTTTTTTCTTTGTTTTTCTGTCCCGTCAAGTCGTCTTTTTGATTCTCGAGAGTAATCTACTGGTCTGATCACGACTCTTGTGATATCATCTTTTTTGTGTTTTTCCCTTTTCCACGTTTTTGCCACACGTAAACATCACGTGTCATTTTTCAAAGTATTTTCATTCATCATCTTTTGTAAACATCTCATTTTATCTAACTTGAGCTAACTTGAATTGGCCTTGAATTGGTTTTAACTCGAGTTAGTTAATTTCGCAGGAGTTTAAATTATTTTGATATACTGGGAGCCGCTGAGACATACGACCGGCATCAGTTACTGTGTGACGTCATTTCTACCTGGCTGTTGAGACAGTCATTTGGCTGGCAGAAGTTCTGGACCACACAGGGGAAGTTTCACTGAACACCAAGTAAGGTTCCTGTTCTAGCTTCTACCTCGAGAGAGACTCGAGGAAAGGTCGTGTCAACACAGTCGCAAGTAGTTGTTTCAAATCCAAAATCCTTTAATCACATAATTCTCCTAATCGCATTTTTTTTTTTTAAATCATTACCAAGACGTTTATCGTTTCATTTGTTAATTTCACTATCAAAATCAGAATAAAAACCATAAAGTTATTAAAATCACAGAAAGTATGATCTTTGATATTTACTTAATTAATTTGCATTTTTGTTCACAATTCCTGGAATAGATTTATATGTAATAATTTGAATGTTAATTTCCTTCTTTTGAAGGTGGTGCCCCTTTTTAGATTTTGAGGTATTATTAAGATTATTATTATCTTAATAAATTAATTTACTACAATATATTTACTGCAATATTTGAACTATGTATGATAAAAGTATAATGAGTATACTAAATTATATATAATAGCTGCACTTTACAAGTACAAGTGGTTCATATATAATTCTGCCACTCAAAATGTCACTTTAACTTTGCCAACTTATCTGTTTTGCCCCTTCATCGTTTTAGTAACTTTGATTATCACTGTTTTAACTGTGTTTTTAATACACTTCGTTTTGTTTGCTAACTTTACTAGCCTAATTTTAGCCACCGCCTTATCACTGCATTTAATATCAAATTCCTACCTCTTGATTCTTAATTCTCAAATGTCTTCACGGTCCTAGAGGAACAAAATTTAATCTCACTGTGAACTTTGTATATAGTTGATAGACAATAAAGAGAACTTGAACATGAGGTGACATACATTAAACTGGAATAAGAGTGCTTTTGTGTGCAAGAGAGGAAGAGTCATAAATGTCAGAGAATAATATTTTATTGAATGAGGGATTGTATCAGGATCATGTCAATATTCAAACAGGGTGAATGAGAGTACACAGTAACATAGGTGTATGTTATGGATATCTTCAATGACTTAAGTGATTTCATTCTTAACATGTAGATGCAATAACTATCACCTATTCTTGAGAATTGGGAAAAATCATGTCCCAGGCAAACAAATTTAAAAATCCCACTTACTAAAATACCACTTATTCCTCTTTTTAAATCAAAATCTCTTCTTAAAAGATTTTTATATATGAAACAAACATCTAATACCACCTTTTAGTTCCGATTTCTGCCAGAAAACACCTTTTCTATGAACATTTTGACCCATTAAAGTTTTGTCACAGATTTTTGTCAACTTCGTCAGACTTTTCTAAAGACATAAAATAGTCAGGCATAAAAAGAGGTGAGCTACAACCAAAGGACCCCTGGTTTCAAAAAGCAGGGAGGAGAGGGTGTTTTTCAAGCATCGTCGAGCTTTCAATTTTTAAAGAAAGTCATATCCCTTTTAAATCAGAACTAAATAAGGTTTATGGTTTATTAATATGTGTTTTAGTTAGCACTGAGAGAACTCTTAGCAACTTTAGAAACTGAAATGAGAACTTACCACAGGGGTTAGTGTTAGGGTAACCCAAAATTAGGGTTTTGTCTTCAATCTCAAGAATTAGTACAATATATTCCAATGTAGACAAAATTGTTTTGTTGGGAACCAGTGGACTATACCATGTGACGGAATGAGTATCAGTAAAAAATAACTTATTTTTGAAGTGCACATAATAAGACACAACAAGACCCCATATCCCTTACCAGAAAAAATCCCAATAACTATATTCCTGTGTAATTAATAGAGATGCACATGCAGCTGTCTTAATCCTCAAATGTGGCCAGAGGTTGGTATTTGACCCTTGATATTTTGGCTTTGTACACGGCCACTCCACTGATCATGCCAACGGCTGCAACAAGACATCCAGCGATGAAAACCAGGTTCAGATTCAGGTTCATCACTGGAGGAAAAAAGACAACAAAGATTTGATTTTGACCTCATCAAAGTGTACCTGGGTTTGTAAAATGTCAGGTGTGCTGTAAGTAAAGCAAAATTCCTATTTTCTTACCTGGGCTCTCTGCTCTCTCTGCTGACCTCCTCATGCGCAGGGGACCCTGGGAGACAAGGTGGGATGAAGTCTGGCCGACAGTCTCTCTCTTACGCCTGTCGATGACTTGATTCATTGCCATGCATCCCTGTGAGCACCTGGTGTTGGGTTCTCCTGCCTGACACATCAGGACTGAGCAGCTGATATACACCTGAATACAACAACACATGCTGTCATTATGAGGGCAGAAAAACTGTTTTAACAAGTTACCTGAGAAGAAGACACAAAACAGAAAACTCTTATGGTCTCTTAGCTGCTTCTTAGTCATGAGAAAAAAAAGAAATCAACAAAGTTCTATTGTATTTTTTATTAAATCTTTAAAAGTGTTATAAAGAAAGCGTTCAGACAAGTGGACAAATTATTTTCTTCAGTCATTTGTACGAGTAGTGTTGTAGTACTTTAAATCGGTCTTGGTCTCGAGACCAATTTTTGAAGGTCTTGTCTCAGAATCAAAAGCAATTTATACATGGTCTTGTCTTGGTCTCAGACTGAACGGACTCTGGATTTTAAATCAATACCAGTTAAGACCACCACTGATTGGCTATTTCGCCACATCATTACTGTGATGAGAATGAAAACACCCCTTTCTAAAAGAACAAATAACTTCAATTCATCTGTGGTTTGACTTTTATCCCCCGGTTACGGCTGCATCCTTCCCTAAGATGATGATTTTCAGTGATATTTATGGTCTTGATCTTCTCTCTGTCTGGTCTTGTCTTGGTCTCGGAGCACTCTGGTCTCAGGTATGTGGTCTTGACTACAACACTATCTATGAGTAACTTTTTTTGCAATTCTTTCAAAACAGGTGATTTCTTTTGCATTTTTTAAGTGTAATGTGTAATAATAATATTTCAGAGTTGCTTTTTATCTTTGGATAATTGGGAAGTTAAATAAATGTTGGTGTTATCCTCATTTAGGCCACAAAAGGCAGACGTGAACCACCACTCCATTTGAGAAATAAGAGTGAAAGTGTGGAAGTCTACCAGGTGTTAATAGATTGTATTCCTCATGCTGACAAACTGTTGCTTTATTTTAAATACGAGTTGTTTCATATTAAAAGTCTGATAATCACTGACCAAATACGATGGATTTTCCAAACTTCTTCCATATTATTTCACCTGCTTGACCCACAAAATATACATTCAGTTGAAAAAAAAAAGGACAGAGTTTATGCCATTTCCAGTCAGATTAACCACAAAGTGCATTCTTCACCTGGTCATGTAATCCGATAAACTTGAAGGCCTCCATGCTGAATTTGAACTGTCTCTGGTGGGGGGGGGAATGGATGATAACAGTCGAGTCCATTACGCACCTATTGAGAGTAAATAAATAACATAATAAATATCACCTTTTTAAAAAATGAGAATGGAAGCCATTGCAGGGGTAGATAATTATTGAATTGCAGTTTTTAAACACTGATGAAATAGAGAATTAAATATGAAATATGCCAAAAAGTGAGAAGAGCCAGAATAGGTTAGAGGCAAATCTGTTTCTAGTAGTGGTCATAAGCACACTTACCCATTCTGGATGATAGGGTAGGCTGGCATGTAGTTGGGGTTGTCATACGGTGCAGCGCTGCAGGACTCCACAAACAGCTCGGTGTTGTTTAGTGAAGACGTGGCCTCGATCTGCATGTAGATGCGGCTCCCCAAGTCGTACTCCAGAGGGTAATAGTGTGGATCGATCATGGTCTGGAACTGAACGTTGGGAAAGAACTCAAACTGGTACGTGAACTTGCCGAAGCCTTTCTCCCACACAGTGGTTGCATTCCTGTGTGCTGTGAAGCTCTGAGTCACGTTCCCTTGTTTGGGATACTGACAGTAGAACTGAACCTCCAGCAAGTGTGTCCTGGTGATCACGTCATTGTTGTTATCAAACGTGGTGATTTCATTCTTGAACTTTAGGAATTCCTCATCTTCCTGCAGAGTTAGAGGTTGTATATTCAGTTCTCACGCTGTTTATGAGACAGAAAAGCAACAGCATCAACTAACAAATAAAGCTAAAAACACTGTGTTACCTCGATCTGGGTGCCACAAGAGTTGAGAGGGATGATGCCGATGACATGAGTGCTGTTGGAATGAGTCTTCAGGCTGCAGATGACGTTTGAGGGGTCATTGAGCCGTAAATCATCCTCGCTGAGTCGGGGGAATGAAGATTTCTCAATCTCCACTCTCATCGTGGACTGACTGCAGATCACATTGGCTTCAACTTGAACAAGAGATAGAAATGTATTCATTTAAAGCAAATGCATTAAGCTGAGAACTGTACACATTTTTCTTTGTATCAGTAACCATGTTTTTGACACATAATTCCTTCAAGGAATAGTATTGATTTATTTTACATGGGGTTGTACGAGGGACTTTAATTTGTCAGTGCATTTTTTTTGTGGTAGCAAAGTTGGTCCAAAGAGCTCCTTCCTTTAGTGCGTGTCTTGCAGCTTGAAAATGTTTTTTCATTTAGTGGTTCTCAAACATTGGAAACATTTTTTAAGCTAAGCACCACTGAACCTTCCTAAATTAGTAGGAAGAAATCCAAACTGAATCAGTGTCTGTTGATCTAAACACCTTTGCCATGTTCTTTGTTGTATACAGGAACACTGCTTTTCAACAGACAAGCCAGGTAAATTCTTGGGACCCCAGGCCAGTTGGACGCCCCTAATGCTGATCAAACTTCAAACCACACAAGTGTCTCAAAATGTGCACATTTTTCATTGACAGTATGAAACCTCCCTTTGGGGTCTCATCTAATAGCACTCACTTACATTGCGCTGCTTATTTAAATAAATAAATAAAATAAACATTATGATAATGATGATAATCCGGCGCCAATAGTTTAACAAAGTACCAGCATATGTTATGAATGGCCTTAAACTGCTTCAACATTTTCAGCTAAAGTGGCAAATGGATGTCTCACCTTGCTTCTTGCCAACGTCCACAACTACACACCTCATGTCGGACTGATAGACGTTAGACCTGAAAAATATTAGAGAACAAATTTATCTCTTTGGACCTTATTTTTCAACTAAGCCCTGCACCGATCAAAAACTCCAGCCCAAAACCGTCACCCATCTGTCCATTATGCACACTCAGTCTAATGCATGCACAAAGAGCAGGCACAGACAAACATACCAGTACAACTACCAGTGCCACTGACATTGGCACCCAGAGATATTAATATTAAATTATAAAATCGTCTCATTGTATTTTATCATAATTTCTCGTATTATATTATTTCATATCCTATAATATGGTATTTTTATCATTTCACAATTTGTAGTCTAGTTTTGTACATTATTGTATCACCATATTGCATCGTATCAGAGCATATCAAAACACAAGATATACTAACATTTGTTTGGAATAATGGAGATGCCCTCACATACTAATACTGTCATTAAAAGTAAATAAGATGAACACACTTACCCGCTCACTGATTCTACAGCGAAGCAGATGACGTAATGATTTCCCAGGTGGTCTGAAGTTGGTGTCCATGTAATGACAAACTCGTTATGGGTGGTCCTATGCTTTCTGGTATTCAGTGGCCCGCTGAAGATGATGTCCTGTATTCTGCATAAAAACAAGAAATTCAAACATTCCCAGGTTTTTTTTACGTGTCAAAATGATGAGAATGATTTGCTGCATTGTTTCACTTACGTTGAAAATGAAGATTGTGCTCTGACTCTGATCTCCACCTCCATGTCGACCTCTGCATGAATGTGCGCTCCGTTTTCAGGTGTTGGGCTTACAAACTCAGGCAAGTAGATTCCTGGCTGACATGAGGGAACGGGTTTGTCCACTGGAGAAAAAGGAAAAAAAGATTCTTGTTTTTTTAGTAGAAGAGCTAAAACGTCAAACGTCCGTTAACCATTAACCAATTATTATAGCCGTTAATGTTTTTATAAATTTTTAATGTGAATGTTCATTTGAAATACAAAATTGGGTCTTCTACAGGAGCATATACCATCCTTTCACTCTTGGGTAGCTTGTGGTCAGTCTACCTTGGATGATTATGATATTATTGCTAATAATTAAATCCGCTATGGAGAAAATGAACAGGACTTTTACTTCTGGAACCACACTGATGATGATGACAGGCAAAATTAGTTTTTTCCTCTGCCTACATGAAACTTGTTCTAATTGTAAACCTTATTATGAAAAGCTGCGAGCAGAAAAATCTAATTAAATGAAGAAATGTACTGATTTGGTTATGAAGTTTATGTTTTATTACCTTGAAATATACTCTTACCCCCCTTTAGATTGTTATGATCTGATGTATTTGTATTGAAAATAAGGATAGAGGGATAAGGCTTTGATGCATCTTAGATGCAGGAGGACATTAAAACAGCATCTGAGCTCCACACAATGAGCATTTTATTAGCAGGAAAGAGCAGCAAAGAGAAAAAGGTGAAAAAATAAGGAGCAGGTTTAAAAAACTCACAGTCAACTTTATACAAGTTAAATCTGGCTTACCAAGGAGGGAGAATTGTAGTGGAAGTTTACTGAGAGGAGAAGTTGGAGTTGTTGTAGTTGGTGCTGCAGTTGTTGTGGTTGGTGCTGAAGTTGTTGTGGTTGGTGCTGCAGTTGTTGTGGTTGGTGCTGAAGTTGTTGTGGTTGGTGCTGAAGTTGTTGTGGTTGGTGCTGAAGTTGTTGTAGTTGGTGCTGCAGTTGTTGTGGTTGGTGCTGCAGTTGTTGTGGTTGGTGCTGCAGTTGTTGTCTTTGGTGCTGCAGTTGTTGTAGTTGGTGCTGCAGTTGTTGTGGTTGGTGCTGCAGTTGTTGTGGTTGGTGCTGCAGTTGTTGTAGTTGGTGCTGCAGTTGTTGTGGTTGGTGCTGCAGTTGTTGTGGTTGGTGCTGCAGTTGGAGAGTACTGTAACTGCCTCTTTTTCCTCATCAATGCTGGACTCTTGGAGGATTGAGATCCGTCTGAGTATTGCAGAGTGATGTGCCCTCGTGGAAAGTCTTCCACCACCATCTCAAACACGTAACTTCTGTAGTCATAACTGCCGTTGTTGTATTGTAACGTGCAGGAGTCCTAACAATGTGAACATTCAGGATTTAGGTTAAGTACAGCATCAGTACAGTTTTGTACTATGAATGAGGATATAGATTTTAGAACTAACCGGATTTAAGTGGAAGCCTGAAGGTTGGTCACATGCGCCACATTCCACATTTTGGACATTTCCGTATCGGCATCGAACTTTGTCACCGTCAGGATCAAAGGTAGTCAGCTTGTAGGTCCGTGGGCAGTTCTGAGGAACTCTTCAACAGACATATTAACAAGAGTAAGTGACAGTGTGCTGGTAAGAATCCTTAGCACGAAAGAATACCACAAGACAAATTACAAACATGCACATATTGATAGACATTGATGGTTTTCTTTTTTTGTTTACCACTAGGGTGCAAAAAACTATTGAAAATACAAGTTTTTATAAGTTCTCTCGATTGATGACAGGTTAGCCTGGACCTTTCATATAAAAAAATCTGTTGCATCTTTCTCACTGAAAAAATTTTGTAAACTGATTGCCATGTGTTCACTTTAATTATTCAGAAATCGTTTTGAGGCTATTTTGTTTTATTTTTTAAATACCTGCATTTTCAAATTATTTGATTGCATTTGTTTGAAGCTATATGAAGCAATCACTGTAACTGTGGTAGTGTTTGTGTTTAGTAATTGTGAACTATCATTGCTACTTGGTTGCTTCAGTTTGTTTTTATTCACCGCTGGAGTTGCCAGAAATAGCCATTTTCAACGTACATCTTTCCAAAATAGATGAAAGGTAAGCCTAAACTTTTCATGCTCAGAGCAGTGGACTCACCTTAGGACAGGTAGGATGGCGATGTCTGGTGATCTGTTGGGTTCTTGGGTGTCAGATCTGGTTCCCAAATCCACCGAAGTCAGAAGCCTCCAACTTGCAGAAACTACATTACGCACCTTAATCCAACAACAGCCAGCTGACCTGGATAGTGTGAGGAAAACACTTCTTAACTTTTGTCTTTATTTCATGGATAAGTGGATCAGTATTTAGTATGTCTAGAGGTCCCCACTCTACAAGCACCTCACAGTTTTTACGGCTATTCTCCTTCACATTCAACCTTATTTACATTCTGGATCTTTTTTGATTCATAATGAAGCTGGAATAAATAATTAAAAAGTACATATCCTGCAGCTACTAGCTTATTTGATGAAAAATCTCACCTCCATTTAAAAGGTTTGTCACTGGAAACGTATCTTGTATCAACTGTTTCAGTTTCACACCAAAGTTGTTCGTTAGACGGAGCATTGGTGCTGTTGTCTAATACCCCACGCTGTGTACTGGCTCTTGAGCCACACTGACCCTGGTAACAAGACCAGGAAAGTGAGGAGGAACAGCTGCTGTAGGTGTCCCTGTTGTGAAAGTCCACCTGTAGGATAGAGCACTTCTGTGGTTAGGTTGTTTTTTAGATGAAATTCAGCAAACAATCAAAACAAAAACTGCATGTATCTTTGCAATTCAATATATGTAAAGAAAGGTCAATCAATCAGTCAATCAATTTTATTGATAAAGCTACAAACCATTCGAAAGATTATGTCAGGATTTATATAAAGTGCAAGTTAAGAGAGGCTTACTGTAATTTCTGTGTGCTAAAATGTCCGTATAACAATATTGTATTCATTAGCTTTCGTGTTAAATTCACATGCTTTCGTTAATCAGTGTGCTGCGTGTGAGCTGTCGAAACGAGCCAACTTTATGACAAACCAGTACCTTACTCTGTTCCTGTTTAGATAATAAATATTATATATAAGGGCTATCACACTTGCAGAAAAATTTCTGATATGTTCAGTCTGAGCGTCATGTGTGAACACAAACAGCTGAATGTTTCTCTCTTCACCCGGAGTTTCTCCTCCAGCCTCCTCGTATTTATTCTGCAGAAAGTCAGAGTGAGCTGATGTGAGAACGCAGCAGGATATAATCAGGAGAATTCACCTGGAGCGAGTGGGAGGGGGTGGTGACGTTTATTCCCTGTGATCGCTGCACGACCATAGACTGTCTGCACGCCACCTCTACCATCTCCGTGCTCTAATGAACCTGCTGCATTATGTTTCCTGTTCTCCAGTTTGTTCTTCTCCACTCTTTATTTAGTTCAGATTGAGATTCTTTAATGGTTATTAACCTAAACTTTTCTCAGGTCTCAACCCTTTTTTTACTGCACTTATAAATGGGATACTAGTAACTGTTACTGAAATTAATGTTGTTGTGTATATTCTATGAGAGTAATGAAATGCCAATAAAGAATAACATTTGTAATGATAAATAAGAAAGGCAGTTCTCAGAATGAGACAAAAATCCTAAATGAATGAATCTTAAATGATATTTGCACATCTGCATTTATGCAAGTTGAAGTTCATTTAAAGTTGTTTCACTTACAATATGTCTCCCATCAGAGGTTTTTCCTCTGTAGGTGTAGGTCGCCATTCCCCCCATGTGATGAGAGGCAGACGTCAGTGAGACCAGGAGCAGCTGAAGCAGGAGCACCAGTGTGAAGGCCATGATGCTCAGACTCATCTCTTCCTCAGATTCTCTGCAGCCAAATCCACTTGCATCTTTCTTTTATACCTCTCCAGGCCGCACAGAAGGCACTGATGCCAGCTGAAAGGTATGCGTGCTATGTCGCAGGCTTTAGAACTGTTTTCAAGGATTCCAAATATTTGGATTCCAATTGATCATTCAATCAATCAAGTTTTTTAATTTAGTTTTTCATAGCACAGACGACTGTTGTCACGCAAACTGTCAGGAGAATTAAAACCTAAGAACAATCATTGTAGTGTATGATCAAATGTAATTTTTTTGTACAGTTTTGTCAATACTTCCATTTTCATGTAACAAAGGTAATGGATACATCCAGGGGAAACAACTAATAACAGCAGATATTCAATTTAGATTAAAAGTTACAGACAGAGTGAGATCAGTGCCCTACCTGACTGAAAACACAATATAATGATTCATATTTACCTCTACAGCATCCAGCTTTATAAAGCAAGAAATAATAAATAATTCAAATGTGAAATCAAATGGCCTAGTGGTTAGGTCGCACCCCATATGGCTGTAGTCCTTCAAGTGTGCAGCCCAGGAAACAAGTCCGACCTGTCTCCATTTTTGGCTCCAAAAATTGCAGCATACTGTTGACCAAATTGCTGATGCTTCAGAAATGTATTGTATTGTAATTTCTTCTTGACCAACAACAGCTAAGACAACAGCAAAGCTAACAGACGAGCTCAGCTTGTCACAGCCGGGCTCGTCTGAGATAAATGGCCTTTAAACTTATTTAATATCAAACATTTAAAGCCAATAAGGATAGCAAGATACGCATGAGATTCCATTTCAATTTATTCAATCACAGACTTGTCCAACAGTCTGGCATTTTGTGCTGCTGTTTTCAAGAGTTAATAACTAAAGAGAAGAACTCCATCGAGAGAGGACAGGAAACGCTCAGGGGACGAGTCCTCCATGTTGTCAGGGGTTGCTGATGGATCTGAATCTGAGGGCATCTTCTGTAATAAAGAAAAACAGTCATGGAGTTAAATGTAAAGTATAATGATTTTTACTTTGATGTTTATGCCTCAGACCTGAAATCAGATCTGTCCTCAGGTTCTGCTAAACTTCAGGTTGTGTGTGTGCGCGTTTGCGCTGTTTGTTGGTGTGTCTCGTCCCCCGCGATGCTCACAGTCATGACAGCAGAGAGGAGCAGAGAAAAGTAGCTGCAGCTTCATCAAATGCGCTTAATACTCGTAGCATAGTTTCTATATATGACTTTTTGGTAAAACATTTACCCCCCCGGTTTTACCTGCACGTCATTGCGCATGCCTGCACTCTCTCTTGCGCGCTCTCTCTCTCTCTCGCTCTCTCTCTCTCTCTATCTCCGCCGCTCGCTCTCTCATGCACGCAGCATTTTCATGAATAAATGAAAAATTAAATACAAACAGGTCGGAAGTATACTTGGGCTCCCCACACAGGTATCGTGTGTGGGAAAAACTGCAATGAGATGAAATTGAAATCACTTTTCTATTTTACAATTGTATTTTATATTGACTAAACATCTCGCGATCGACTGAGAATCAGTCAGCGATCTACCTGTCGATCGCGATCGACTGTTTGGGCACCCCTGTGCTAGAGTGTGGTAATATACCAGCATTAGAACACCTGCACCTTTAAAATCACTGCTCCACCCCTGCATACTTGGCACACATCCATGCAGTCATTGTTTTGTATCACCAGGAAATAATGTCACAGTGATGCCGGGAAAGCAAAAACTCCCACTCATCAGACCAGTTTGTCCACTTAGAAGCTGCTTGACTGAATGTCAGAACTTGACACTGGTTTGTTTTCCATGTATGTGCTCTCTTCTTACACATAAACATACAGGTAAGGACAAAGATACATAGTCAACATTAACCCTCTGCTTATATCTCGTTTGGGGTCCCTCACGGTTCAGTCGTTGGTCCCAACTAATTTTCTATCTAAATGTTTTTGCTGGGCAAATTAAAAAAAACACCACAATATCTAATTTCCCTGTTACGCAGATGACACTCAGCTGTACATCCTCCTGACTGAACCAAATGATCAGATTGGCCCATGTACCTGGGGTATATTTCTTTGAAAAGCTCTGGGACGTTTATAATTTTCAGCAATTGAACAGATAGATATATGCTCATGTCAGATCACACTTCTTCCAGCTCTGATTTTTTTTGAAAGATAAGAATCAAGGTTAAAAAAAGCTCTCATGTCCTAATGACTGGACTACCATGCTCACAACCGGTGCTAATCGTTGTAGCGAGACTCCTATTTAGACTGGAAAAACGAGAGACGTTTTTAAGTCCTTGTGTTTCTTTAGAGTACTTTAGCACACACCTGGTTTGTCGTTTAAAGTGCTGTGTATGTGACTTGTCAATAAACCTGACCGTTCATCCAGGCCAATGCCTAAATTCTGTATAACCCAATCTGAACATTTTAATTTGTGACCCCTGTAAATTAGCCTACCAACACAGCAGTATGTTGGCATTGCATTAAGAATGGTGCAGCACCACACAACCAAAAACAATCTGGTTTACTGTATAATTTACGTGTGTGTATCTTGCAACTCCTCGATTAGAAAAGCAGAGTGGGATTTTCAAATTTTTGGTTGATGAGTACCGCTGACGAGACAGCTGATTATCCAATGACAGTCCAGAAATTAAAGCACAAGAATGACAGCGGAAACGTGAATGAGCATGCAAAAAGGGATGAATGAGAAAAAGATCATGAAGGCAATTATATATGTAGTCTTCCTGACTGAACTCACGCTAGAGCTTCATATTAACTTTATTCATGGATAAGACCGATGTATTTGGGCTTGTGGCCTTCATCAGGGAAATCCTGGATGAGCCTTCATACTATGGGCCAGATTTACTAAAGGTTTAAAAAGTCTTAAAAAGTGTGCAAACTCGATACCACCAGCAAAAAATGTACTATCTGACCTACTAATGTCGCGCAGTGAGGATTGCGTCTTTCATATGAGCAAAACAACAGGTATTGTCCATTTAGTATGTTTGCCATTAAGGCATCGCACTGCGATTTACCAAGCCTGACAAAAACTGCGGTGATTATGAAGTTTAACATCTTTGAAAGGAACGTGCTAATCCAGGAGCACAGCGTTACGCACAACAGCCTGCTGTTATTTAAGTTAGGAGGAGACATAGGGACAACAAAAGAAGGCATACAGATCGCGTTTTCCCCCACACATGGTAATATGTTTGGAATGAAAGTATGAAACACCATGATTAAAGTAATATAGGCTGTATTGTTGCCTAGTTATAGCCAAACAAAACAGAATATTCACAGCATCTGCAAGACTGTTGCTGTAGAACTTCTTAGGAATCCTTGATCTTTGTTTACTGTGCCGCATTCTTCTTTGAATCATTGGCTGTCTACACTATGTCACGCTGCTTTGATTTAGTGATATGTAAGGGTACAATTGGTTGTGGAAATGCTAGCAATATCAGGTTTTATCAAACTGTACTGAACCAAACCTGACTGTATTGTGGAAACGGGGCTAAACTGGTCACATTTGTACACTGTGGTTGATTCAGTCCCTGTATTGTTCTGATTAAAATAAAATAAAAACGGGGGCACTAATAGCGCAGTGGTTTGTGCATCCACCCTATGTACAGAGGCTGTAGTCCTCAAAGAAGGCACCCCAGGTTCGAATCCTATCCGTGGCTCAAGATTCAATATCTTGGCTCCTTTCCCCACTCTCTCTCGCTCTCTCTCTCCCCGATGACTGACCGTATCCACTGTCCTATCTCTAAAAAAAGGCATGAAAAGACACAAATTTTAAAAGAAGCATGTTAAAGAAATCAATAAAAAAAATGTTCACAAATGATAATAATAGAGGAAGAAGCAATAAATAACATATCAATACGGTAACCTACTTTAAAGAATAATACATGTGCTTATTTTAATAAGCTGGTATGTTAACAAGTGAGCTATAGTTTCCTGTAGCACTGTGTCATTTACCGTAAGGCTCACCTAGATTATTTTATAAATGAAAACTTTGAGGTTATTGTAGTTTTCCGTCCCACCTTCTTTTTGACAACTTAATGAATTGTTGACAACAACAACAACGTCACACTGTTTGGATTGCTAAATATATATTTGAAATAGGCCATTCCCACGTTTCACAGAACGTAGTCATGTTGAACCAATTAATTTGATGGGTGTGAGTGACTCATCTTAAACCACAAAATCTTCTCAACAACGGAGTGCTAGAAGATCAAGAAACATGGGACCTAAATACAGACCAAGTGATCATACTGTCAAAGTTTATGAGAGGTTTAACTGAGAAGGAAGTTAATGAGATATTTAATTGATAGCAGATGGCTTACTGACAGGTGTGGTAGGAGCACCAGAGCCAGCGCAGTTTGGCAGGTTCAAGTGTTTGGTTAGGTTTTAGGCAATGTCTGTACGCATCGGCTAACATGACATTTTTATAGCCTTTAGGAGTGATAGCAAAGTTTTGGGGGGCTTCTGCTGTAGCCGAAGATTAGCAATAAAGAATTTCCTTTTCCTTGTGTTGCCTTGGTTTAGAGTCAAACTAACAACTTGAGCTGAAAAATGTAGCTGGTGTTGAGAAACATCATCCAAAGGCTCATTGTTCGCTGCAAGTGTCTGTTGTGTGTTATGTTATTGTCTGAGACATTCAGTAAAGCTAAATTATTGTTAGATGATCCCTAACAGGTTCTCTGCTCTCCACACTTTTTTTTTTTTTTTTTTTTTTTGCAAACAGGCAAAGTCATGATCCTGTGCATATGGATTTAACATTTTTAAGCAGGATCTGTAAATGTATATTCGATTGTGGAGTACATCTCAAGTTCTGACTTGAAGTAAGGTTGGTTTCACACTAGGGACCCGGGCTCAGATCTGAGTACGCTTGACCACAAAGTATGGTTAATTGGATCAGTGTGAACACAAACTTAATGTACTCTTACCGTACTTGGGTACTGTGCCCGAGTCCGCTTGAAGATGTGGTC